CATACAGATCTTTATATGGGTGTGTGTGTGTATGTGTGTGTGTGTTTGTATGTTTTTAACTTATTTGAAAGGTGGAGAGACAAAGAGAAAGCTAGGAATACACAAAAGTGATCTCTCATCTGCTGGTTCATTCTCCAAATGCTTGCAACAGCCAGGGCTGAGTGAAAGAGTCCAGAACTCAGTCAAGGTCTCTCACATTGGTGGCAGGGGCCCAAGTACTTGAGCTGTCACCTGCTAACAGGAAGTTAGAATCAGGAGATGAGCCTTCATTATGGTTTGGGGGCATACTAAGTAATGTCTTATGTCTTAACTGCTAGGCCAAATGCCCACCTGGATGGTTTAGTCTTAAGAATTATTAGAGGGGCCAGCCCTGTGGTGCAGTAGGTTAAAGCCCCAGCCTACAGTGCTGGCATTCCATATGGGTACCTGCTGCTCCACCTCTGATCCAGCTCCCTGCTAATGTGCCTGGGAAAGCAGCAGAGGATGGCCCAGGTCCTTGGGCCCTGGGCCAAGGAGACCTGGAGGAAGCTCCTGGCTCCTGGTTTTAGATCAGCCTAGCCCTGGCAGTTGTGGCCATTTGAGGAGTGAACCAGGGAATGGAAGATCTCTCTCTTTCTCTTTTTCTCTACCTCTCTCTATGACTCTGCCTTTCAAATAAGTAAAACAAATCTTAACGAAACAAAAACAAAAAAAATCACTGGACATTTCATCCTATATCAGGTGCCTGGGTTCAATTCCTGGACCCACTTCTAACTCCAATTTCTGCTAACACAAATCCTGAGAGGCAGCAGGACCTAAATAATTGGGTCCCTGCCACCCACATGGGAATCCTGGATTGCATTCTCAGCTCTTATATATTTGGGGAGTGAACAAGCAGGTGGGATATCACTCTCTAAATAAATAAATAAATAAATAAAACTTCAAACGGGTTTAAAAGAAAAAAGATTGTTATATGTTTAACTTTATAAGAAACTGCAAAACTATTTTCTGAAGTGTGTGTCCCATTTTGTATTCCTGCTGCCTTTCAGCACTTGTTACTGAGCTATCTATTTGTGCTCATTAGTTTGCATTTTCAGAGCATCTTTTCACATGCATATCGGCCATCTGGTCTCTGGTTAGGTGCTGGTTCAAATTTGGGGGATTTATATACTTTGAAAAGTATGTAGGAGTTCTAGGCCCAAATGAAAAGTTAGCATTAATCAAGTTATTTAAATGCTCTGTGCCTCAGTTTCTCTGTCCTTAAAATAGAATACTTAGAGTAACTACCTTAAAGGATTGTTGTAATGCCTACAGTTCAATCTCTTAGCCTATTGCCTGGTACGAAGTAAAACTCAATACTTATAACTATTACTGTTAACAGTGAGTGACCTTGGGAAAATCTCATAACTTTAGTTGTTCACAGTTAAAAGGAAGATAAAAGCTACTTGACCTAGCTCAGTAGACTGTTCAAATGATTGAAATCTAAGGTAGTGTGAAAACAAGTTAAGATACTGATAAAGGAAACTGCTTACTGAAAGCATTCCAAAAATTTTTATTCTACGTTTAATTCATACGTAAGTAACTAACAAGATACTAGAACAAAAGAGTCTGATAGCAAATAAAAAATATTTTTAGTTTATCCTCAGTTTTGGGTGTGTATGGTTGTAACTGCAAGGTGTCTGGTGTGTAACAGATCTTCCCAGGCAGATGAATCGATTAATTCACAGGCTTTTATTGGGGTTCCGCTCCCGGGTGAGGTTCACTGGTCCCAACAGAGCAACAGTGGGGATGGGGGAGGCACAGGAGAAGTCAGAGATTGGGAGAGCTCCTTTTATAGATTCAGGGCATGGGAGTTAAAGGTTGAGGCGGGTCTGATCCTCATTGGTTGACCTTTAGGCACCCGCAGGGACCTTGACAAGGACTTTCTTCCCAGGAAGTAGGCCTCTCCCTCCTTGCGGATCCCAAAGCTACCAGTAACTTCTATTAGTTCAGACAAGAAAAGTTTGATAACAAATTATATGTGGATATAACATTTGAGTACAGATCTATTTTTGGATATCTCAGAATATAGTTTTTTGTTTTATTTATTTATTTTTAAGATTTATGTATTTATTTGAAAGAATTAGAGAGGTCTTCCATCCCTTGTTCACTTCCTAAATGGCAGCAATGGCCAGAGCTGGACTGATCTGAAGCCAAGAGCCAGGAGCTTCTTCTGGGTCTCCCATGTGGGTGCAGGGGCCCAAGGACCTAGGTCATTTTCCACTGCTTTCCCAGGCCATAACAGAGAGCTGGATTGGATGTTGAGCAGCTGGGAGTTGAACCGGCACCCATATGGGATACTGGCACTGCAGGCGGTGGCTTTACCCACTAAGCCACAGCTCAGGCCCCAGAATATGGGTTTTAATATCAATTGCATACAAAACTAGTAAGTATATATGTGGACTTTGATTTTGTCTTACATTTTTATTTTTAAAATTTTTATTTTTTTTTTAGTGCAAGCAAGCGAGCTTCCATCCTCTGGTTCACTCCCCAAATGCCTGCAACAGCTGTGGTTTGGCCAGGCCAAAATAGAGCCTGGAATTCAGTCCAAGTTTCCCAGATGAGTGTCAGGGACCCAAGTACTGGAGCCATCTCTTAGTGTTTTCCAGATCGTTCATTAGCACAAAGCTGGAATCAGGAGTAGAGCAGGGAGTCTAACCCAGGCACTTTGATATGGGATACAGATGTCCCAGGCTTCATCTTTTAATTAAAAAAAATTATTTGAAAGGCAAAGTGTCAGAGGGAATTGGTGGGGAAGGGGTGATAGTTCATCTTGCTGGTTCATTTCCCAAAGGGCCACAACAGCTTGGGCTGGGCCAGGCTGAAGCCAGGAGCCAGGAACTCCATCCCGGCCTCCCACATGGGTGGAAGGGACGCAAGCACTCAGGCCATTTTCTGTTGCTTTTCCAGGCTAGCAGGGAGCTGGACCTGGAAGTAGAGCAGCTAGGACCCAAACTGGCACTCCTAAGGGATGCCAGAGTCTCAAGTGGTGGCTTAACTCCTTAGGCCACGCCACCAGTCCCTGGGCCATCTTTCACTGCCTCCCTAAGCACATTAACAGGACCTGGAGCTGAAGCATGAAGCAGCCAATACTCCAACCTGTACTCCATTGTGGGATGCAGGCATTGCATGCAGTAGCCTGTCCTGTTGCACCCCAATGCCAGCCTCTCAAGCTTTTCTTAACTGCTAGGCTAAATGCCTGCCCCTTGTCTTACATTTTTAAAAGTTTGTAAAGAAAGATTGTCTTCATTCAATCAGCCAATAGTTACTACTATGTACCAGATCAGATCCCTTTCCTGGTCAATGAGGATGTAATAGTGAGGGAGACCCACAAAATCCTAGTCCTCTTACATCTTCTTTAATACATATTCAATAATAAAGAATTTAATGTTATAAAATACACCAAGGTCTTTTTATTTACTTTTTAATAGTAGCAGCACTAGGGCCAGCACTGTGGCACATCAGGTTAAGCTGCCATTGGCATCCCATATCAGAGTGCTTGTTCAAGTTTCATCTGCTCTACTTCTGATCCAGTTCCTTGTTAATGCTCCTGGGAAAGGAACTGAAGATGGCCGAGTACTTGGGCCCATGACGCCCACATGGAAGACCCAGATGGAGTTCTTGACTTAAATCTAGCCCAGCCCTAGCTATTGTGGCCATCTGGGGAGTGAGCTAGTAAATGGACAGACTCACACCCATACTTTCTCTCTCCCCTTCCGCACTGCATCACTCTGCCTTCTAAATAAATAAATACATCTTTTAAAAAAGCAACTCCTCATATTATTGCCCACATACTACGTGCTAGGTATAAAAATATTATTGCTTTTTTTTTTTTTTGACAGGCAGAGTGGACAGTGAGAGAGAGAGACAGAGAGAGAAAGGTCTTCCTTTGCCGTTGGTTCACCCTCCAATGGCCGCCGCTGCAGCCGGTGCACCGCGCTGATCCGATGGCAGGAGCCAGGAGCCAGGTGCTTTTCCTGGTCTCCCATGGGGTGCAGGGCCCAAGCACCTGGGCCATCCTCCACTGCACTCCCTGGCCATAGCAGAGAGCTGGCCTGGAAGAGGGGCAACCAGGACAGAATCTGGCGCCCCAACCAGGACTAGAACCCGGTGTGCCGGCGCCGCAAGGTGGAGGATTAGCCTATTGAGCCATGGCGCCGGCAAAAATATTATTGCTTTAGAAACGTGCCAACCTAGTAGGATTAGCCTGCCTTCTGACCTGCACCAAAGCCATGTACCTCACTGTACTCTTACCTGTATATCTGCTCAGTGGCACACTCTAGGGACCAAACACACATTTGCTGAATGTATAAATGAATGACTTATTGGTAAAAGTTGGTTGTTTCAATGACAAAGTCATTCAGAGGAATTTTTTTTTTTTTTTTGACAGGCAGAGTGGACAGTGAGAGAGAGAGACAGAGAGAAAGGTCTTCCTTTTGCCGTTGGTTCACCCTCCAATGGCCGCCGCACCGCGCTGATCCGAAGTCAGGAGCCAGGTGCTTCTCCTGGTCTCCCATGGGGTGCAGGGCCCAAGCACTTGGGCCATCCTCCACTGCACTCCCTGGCCACAGCAGAGAGCTGGCCTGGAAGAGGGGCAACCGGGACAGAATCTGGCGCCCCGACCGGGACCAGAACCTGGTGTGCCGGCACCGCTAGGCGGAGGATTAGCCTATTGAGCCACGGCGCCAGCTGATTCAGAAGAATCTTATACCTTTAAGTGTCATTGTTTGTAACCAATTTTAGTAAGATTTCCCATGTTAGAGATTAAGGACTGATGTGCACTCCTGAAACTTATTGTTGAGTTTGAGATACTAAGTTACTAAGTTACATGGAAGGAGGACTCATTATCTGCATATCCCTGCTGCTCTTCTGCCCATGGAGACCAAATTAGAGCTCAGAAGGTTTGCTGGCTGAGCAGTAATGATTTCCATCTGGAAAGAAATTGCATGCAGTTTCTCCATGACCTTTTACAATTCTTTTAGGTATTGCTGGATGCTGTGCCAAGACAACAGTTGCTCCTTTGGATCGAGTAAAAGTTCTGTTACAAGCTCATAATCACCACTACAAGCATTTAGGTAAGTTAATAGATGTTAAAGATAAAAATGAATGAAAATGTTGTCCACCTGACAGTTTGGTTTTCAGATGTGATTTATAGTGGAAAGATGACACAAAAGGGAATTCAGGTTTGGGGGTAAATTTTGCAAAGAGTTTTCCATTCTAATCATTGCATTTGCAATAGTGGTTATATACATATTATTATAGGGTACTGATTTTTTTCAAGCCAAAATCTTGGAATCGTTGAAGTATTATTTGTTTATTGGGATGAATGAGTCACATACTTCAGACACCTTTAATTGCTTAGCCTAGTTTTTAAATCTAGTGGTAGAGACAAGGTTTGGTCATCATAAACCTGAAATAATTACTCCTTTAAGCACTGAAACAAGCTTTTTAGAAATCTTAGTGTGAGAAGTATCCAATATAATTAGTATATATGAGTGAACTTGCTCATTAACAAACATTAAAAAACTTCCATTTAATTAACATGGGCTGTAATAATTTATCATGGAGGGAGTTGGTTGTTTCAATAAAAAAGTTATCATTCTTAGCTTGAGGATTGATCACCATCATTAAAGACCAGAGAGTTCCTGACCAACTGACTACAGAGGAAACAAATCCTGGGAAAGAACTTACCTAAGATAGAAATTCAGGAAAGGTTGGTCAAAATTTATATATATATATATTAAAGACTTTTATTACTTATTTGAAAGATAGTTACAGAGAGAAGACAGAGAGAAAGGTCTTCCATCCACTGGTTCACTCCCTAAAAGGCCATAACAGCAGAAGCTGAGTCGATCTGAAGCCATGAGCCAGGAGCTTCTCTGGGTCTACCATGTGGGTGCAGCAGCCCAAGGACTTGGGCCATCCTTCCCAGGCCATAGCAGAGAGCTGGATTGGAAGAGGAGCAGCTGGGACGTGAGCTGGTATATGGGATGCTGGCACCACAGGTGGAGGCGTAGCTCACTATGCCACATCTCCAGCCACAGTCAAAATTTGTATTATTACAAGCCGGCGCCGTGGCTCAATAGGCTAATCCTCCACCTTGCGGCGCCGGCACACCGGGTTCTAGTCCCGGTTGGGGCGCCGGATTCTGTCCCGGTTGCCCCTCTTCCAGGCCAGCTCTCTGCTATGGCCAGGGAGTGCAGTGGAGGATGGCCCAGGTGCTTGGGCCCTGCACCCCATGGGAGACCAGGAAAAGCACCTGGATCCTGGCTCCTGCCATCGGATCAGCGCGGTGCGCCGGCTGCAGCGGCGGCCATTGGAGGGTGAACCAACGGCAAAGGAAGACCTTTCTCTCTCTGTCTCTCTCTCTCACTGTCCACTCTGCCTGTCAAAAAAAAAAAAAAAAAAAAAAAAATTTGTATTATTACCACACCAGGCATAATCTTTGTATTTGGATTCAAAACCCACTTTGTTGTGGTAAGACAATTGGATTTCATATTATTTATTTATTTTTACAGATTTTTTTTATTTGAAAGTTAGAATGACAGGATAGAGAGAGAGAGAAGAGGGGACGGAATGGAAGGGGAAGAGAGGAGAGGAGAAAGCTTGGGGGGTGGGAAAGATCTTTCTGCTTGTTCATTCCCCACATGGCTGCATTAGCCAGGCCTGGCCCCAAGCCAGGAGCCAGAAACTCCCTCCAAATATCCTGTTTGCTTGGCAGGGACCCAAATACTTGAGTCATCATCTGTTGCCTGCCAGGATGCATTTAGTAGGAAGCTGGATCAGGAGTAGCCAGGACTGTCACCTGCACTCCGACAGATATAATATGGGTGTCCCAAGCAGCAGTGCTACAATGCCTGCCCTTAAAAGAATGTTTTCAGTTTTTTGGGAGGACAGTTTGGCAGTCTGCATCAAGAGTCTTGAAACGTATGTACTTTTTTTTTTTTTTTTTTTAGATTTTGTTTATTTATTTGAGTGGTAGAGTTATAGACAGAGGGAGAGATAGAAAGGCCTTCCATCCCCTGGTTCACTCCCCAAATAGCTGCAACAGCCAGAGTTGGGCCAGTCTGAAGCCAGGAACCAGGAACTTCTTTTGGATCTCCCATGTGAGTGCAGGGGCCCAAGCACTTGGGCTATCTTTCATTGCTTTCCCAGGCCACAAGCAGAGAGATAGATCTGAAGAGGAGCAGCTGGGACTTGAACTGGTGCCCATATCGGATGCTGGCTCTGTGGGCAAGGTTTAGCCTGCTATGCCACAGCACTGGCCCTGTGTATATACTCTTTTACTTTGTGATTCCAGTTCTAGGAAGTTATTTCAAATAAGTAATCAAAAATGTGTCAAAGATTATATGAAATGATCGAAGCATTATTTGTGTTAATGAGGAAAAAAATCTAAGCAAGCAGAAATATTCAACAATAGGAAATTGGCTAAATAAGTCTTGATTTGTCCATGTCATAGACTATTTTTACAATCATAAATTAGAATTGGGGGGCACTGGCCAGCACCACGGCTCACTTGGCTAATCCTCTGCCTGCCTCCGTTCTAGTCCCAGTTGGGGCGCCGGATTCTGTCCTGGTTGCTCCTCTTCCAGGCCAGCTCTCTGCTGTGGCCTGGGAAGACAGTGGAGGATGGCCCAAGTGCTTGGGCCCTGCACCCCATGGGAGACCAGGAGAAGCACCTGGCTCCTGGCTTCGGATTGGTGGAATGCACCGGCTGTAGTGGCCATTTGGGGGGGTGAACCAACGGAAAAAGGAAGACCTTTCTCTCTGTCTGTCTCTCTTTCTAACTCTGCCTGTCAAAAAAAAAAAAAAAAAAGTGGGGGGCACTGGGAGTGCTGACATCCCATATGGGCACCTATTCCAGTCCTGGCTGCTCCACTTCCCGTCTCGCTCCCTGCTGTTGTGCTTAGGAGGGTAGCAAAGCATGGCCCATGTGCTTGGGCCCCTGCACCCGCATGGGAGACCCAGATGAGGCCCCTGGCTCCTGGCTTTCACCTGACCCAGCCCTAGCTGCTGTGGCCATTTGAGGAGTGAACCAGTGGATGAAAGATCTCTCTCTCCCTCTGTCTCTCTCTGTAACTCTGACTTTCAACTAATAAGTAAATAAATCTTAAAAAAATTATAATTGGGGAACAGTGTTAGTAATCCATTAGTTTGGGGCTAGTGCTGTGGCCTAGCTGGTAGAGCCACCACCTGCAGTGCCAGCATCCCATAGGGGCGCCAGTTCGAGACCCAGCTGCTCCACTTCTGATCCAGCTCTCTGCTGTGGCCTGGGAAAGCAGCAGAAGATGGCCCAAGTCCTTAGGCCCCTGCATCCACGTGGGAGACCCGGAAGAAGCTCCTGGCTCCTGGCTTCGGATCAGCGCAGCTCCAGCCATTGCAGCCAATTGGGGAGTGAACCAGTGGATGGAGGACCTCTCTCTCTCTCTGCCTCTCCTTGTTTCTCTGTGTAACTTCTGACTTCCAAATAAATAAATAAATCTTTAAAAAAAGAAAACCCATGAGTTAAATGAAGGAAGAGTATTGCAAAATGGTTTAATCATAGTGTATTTCACATAATTTTATATAAATTATAATTATATAAGTTTATATAAACATTTGCTTAGGCCACAGATTGTAAAGACAAACATTAACACTTAATAGTTAGTATTGCATAGTGGGGCCGGCAACGCGGCTCAGTAGGCTAATCCTCCTCCTTGAGGCACTGGCACATCGGGTTCTAGTCCCGGTCGCGGCACCGGATTCTGTCCCGGTTGCCCCTCTTCCAGGCCAGCTCTCTGCTGTGGCCCGGGAGTGCAGTGGAGGATGGCCCAAGTGCTTGGGCCCTGCACCCCATGGGAGACCAGGAGAAGTACCTGGCTCCTGACTTTGGATCAGCACGGTGCGCCGGCCGCAGCGGCCATTGGAGGGTGAACCAACGGCAAGGAAGACCTTTCTCTCTCTCTCTCTCTCTCTCTCTCACTGTCCACTCTGCCTGTCAAAAAAAAAAAAAAGTATTGCATGGTGGGATTATAGAAAATTGTTTCTTCCAAGCCCATTTGTAATACATTTTGAACATACATTACTTTTTCACTTAGGAAGGGAAAAAATTTAAAAGAAAATGAACGTGGATAGAGGCCAAGGGAGAAATTAGGTTTGGGCAACTAACGCATCCCATGCCAATGCTTTACAGTTTCTCACCTCAGCAGGTAGGAAAGCTATGTGCAGTGCATGATCTCTGCAGCACTGCTGCACAGAAGATTGTAGCATGGTGAATAGTTGTCAGTTATTTTTCTGGGGCTGGCGCTGTGGCATAGTGGGTAAAGCCACTGCCTGCAGTGCCAGCATCCCATATGGGTGCCAGTTCGAGTCCCAGCTGCTCCACTTCCTATCCAGTTCTCTGCTATGGCCTGAGAAAGCATAGGAGGATGGCTCAAGTCCTTGGGCCCCTGCACCCATGTGGGAGACCCGGAGGAAGCTCCTGGCTTTGGATCGGTGCAGCTCCGGCCATTGCTGCCAATTTGGGTGTGAACCAGCGGATCTTAAAATCTAATTAGGGGGCCAGTGCTGTGGCACACTAGGTTAATCCTCGCCTGCAGTGCCGACATCCCATATGGGCGCAGGTTCTAGTCCCAGTTGCTCCTCTTCCTGTCCAGCTCTCTGCTGTGGCCTGGGATAGCAGTGGAAGATGGCCCAAGTGCTTGGGCCCCTGCACCTGCATGGGAGACCAGGAGGAAGCACCTGGCTCCTGGCTCTGGATCGGAGCAGCTCTGGCCTTGTGGCCATTTGGGGAGTGAACCAATGTAAGGAAGACCTTTCTGTCTGTCTCTCTCTCACTGTCTGTAACTCTACCTATCAAAAAAATAAATAAAATCTTTTTGGAAAAAAAAAAAAATCTGGGGTTGGCGCTGTGGCACACTAGGTTAATCCTCTGTGTGCAGTGCCGGCATCCCATATGGGTACCAGTTCTAGTCCTGGTTGCTCCTCTTCCAATCTAGCTCTCTGCTATGGCCTGGGAAAGCAGTAGAAGATGACCCAAGTGCTTGGGCCCCTGTACCCATGTGGGAGACCTGGAAGAAGCTCCTGGCCCCTGGCT